TGAGGTGCTGCGATCGCTAAGTTGTCTCAATAAAAGTGGGCTAATTTGAAATGACCAATGCCGCGAAGAAAATTTGTACAATATTCAACTAACTTCAACTACTTGTACTCATAAACAGCTAACTTCACAGATACTCCTTACCGACGGCAGCACGGCTGGTAGCTGAAAAATGAACTATAAATTCTACAAATTTTCAGGGTCAGGCGGGCTAATGCTTTAGTACGTAGCGATCGTTCTCCTTCTCTCTAACCTCCATGTCCATGATGTCACTCACCCTGTCAAGATACTTATTCAAACTATCCAGTTTGAGAGGAGGTGGAAGGTAAGTAGCACAGACAATTTTGCCGCCCTCTAAGAAGTGCCGCCCCCACTACGCTACGCCACTGAGTGGGGAACTGCAGAATGAACAGGAGCACTGGTGGTATTCTTTTTGGGCTCCTTATTAGTGCATTCCGGACACTTCCAAAAGCGTTTCAGTTCATTGTCCATTTTTGCAAATTTATCAGAAATATTAGCACAAAGTAGATCATATTTACTATTACAAAAGGAGCACAAAGATAAGTCTTTATTTTTAAGCTATTGCATAGCTTTTATTGCGGGCTTTGAGCGCGGTGACAGAATCAAGAAATTCCGTAACGAAAATAAATCTAACACCCCCCACTCCGACCAGCACAGCGGTGCGGCGTTGAAAGCCGTGCATCGTCTAACGTCGTTTCAGTTCGGCAGACTTCGGCACGGTGTTTGTGTGCGTGCGACTAGACGTATGCGTGTAGACTAGCTGCTAACTGCTCATAACTGATTCTATCTCTTTTAGACACAATGCTAGGTGAGACAGCGTGCTTTTTGGTCGTGTCCACGAGTGAGTTCGAGCCCGCGATTAGTTGAACCTTAATGTGCATTTATATGGTACGACTGTGCGAATTCCTGAATACCCTACATATATTGTAAGCTAATAAAAATATTTTAAACAAAATTAACTTCTCATTTATGCAATAAAAGAAAAAAAAGTTTTCTTATCGGTCACCACGCTCAAAAAGTGTAACTTGAATTAATATCAAAGAAAAAAAATGCATAAATAAAATAAATAAAATTAAATATTATAATTGCATTAGTACCGAGTGCCACACGTACTTTTTTATAAAAATTTTGCAACTAGAGCACTTTTTACTTGCTGATGCCAAATTGAAAATAATAATAATAAAGTAAAATAATATGAAAACAAGCAAACATTGAATTTCAAATAATATTAAGCAAAATAAAAACACTTAAAAAACAATATTGAGTTCTCGGTATTTCAACGTCGGTTCGTTCGAACCTTGGAAGCTACCAAGCTTACAGTTTGTCTATAAAGTCGTGACATTAAATGATGGCGCCACTAGTATGCATGTAGCAACCCTATACAGGCGGACCAAAATGATTTTGATACTAGCTGTTCATTCAAGAAAAATATGTAATTAATAAGACACACTATACAGTCGTATTTTGTTTCTGTTTTATATATAGTAGGTACCTATGCTTATAAAAAGTTTCGCCAAGCATATTTAATTGAATCAGAATAAAATTATTATAGATAAAATAGTACTATATAGTGTAAAAGTGTGTAATGTTGGTGATTACCGCTGAGGTGCAATTGAGACCAGAGCCGTTAGGTAATCATCAATACACACAAGTTTCATCATACGACGTTTTTTAACAGACATAATACAAAAAATCATTTTATAGTATATAAAAAGTTTATTTAGAGAAACAATTTGTAAATGTGCAGTTAGTAAAATTAGTGATAGGTATCTTCACTAAAAGCATCTGGCCATGGTTCTTTATGTGACCATTTCTTTCTTTGGTCGGCCTTGCCTGTTTTCCCAGGAGTTTCAAACTTTCCATCATTCTTAAAACCTTCGTTGACTATCCGACTCTCTGATTTTCCTGAAAAAAAAAGTAAAAAAATATGTAACGGAATAGAAACAATAACTTACTGACATGAAGCAATTAATTCAAAATTGGTAGAAAATCTGACCGAGTTGAACCATGATAACGTATCAAAAGAAATGGTCGTACTACAATATTACCTATTTACAATGGTGTCGATTCTAGCATGATTCTCTAAACCTAAACTTAAATTTGACAGCAGTATATCCTTGTCATTCTCTATACAGAATGAAAAGGACAGACTGATGTTAAATTTAGTTTTAAGTTTAGAGAATCACGCCAAAATCGGCACCACTGTCAATCTAACCTAAAAATGTGCAATGTAAACAATGCCTTTTTTGGTCTCAAAATCGTAAATTGAGTAAATTTGTAACTTCAGGCAGATTACAAACAAAGGTTGCTTTCCAATTAAAGAGCATAATGCGACTCAGTGCCGCCCAATGCCGAATTATGCTGATGCTTAATTGGAACGTGAATTAGTTTTCAAATGCACCAGCAGAGTGCGCTAAATTCAGTGTTGAAAAAAAAAGTCAATTTTTGTACCTTCATCCATATTTATATTTAATTTTTAACACAGTTTGAATTAACTTTGATTATTTAAAAAAAACTATGATGAAACGAAAGTTTTAATAATTTTTCAACAGTAAATAATATTACTAACGATAACATATAAATAAAATATTTCGATCAATGCCAACTTAAAGAAAAAACGCTTGTTAATTTTCTGTCTCTGAGTTGGTACGATTGCACGCATCACACGAAAGAATTACTTTTGAGAGTGCTCAATTGTGGGAAGCGTTGCTGTAGTTGGAACACTCAACGTTAAGCATTATGCCGCATAACGCGCTATAATGCTGTAATTGGAAAGCTACCAAATAGTTACACGATTACATATCCGTCATAGACGCTGTTCACCCATAAACATCATCCAAATCCCACAAAATTCGTCCAGCTTGGTAGTCTTAGAAACATCGCTGGCAAACTTTAAAAATCACTTCCCGCGTGCCACTCCGATTTACTTTACTCATTTTTATACCTTTCTGCGTAGTTTCGTCTTAATTTATTACAGTTTAATCCAAACAATAAAAAATACAAAAGAAAAACTGTTCCACAACTTAAACTCGATGACAGCTGATGTACATATGTTTGGTGTAGCCAGACTCATGAATAATGTTAGTTCCTCAAACATTCATGTCACGACTTTATAGACAAACTGTATGTTGCTAACTACTATATGTATATAATTATAGAAGCAAAGCGACGAAAAAAATGCATACTTATTAACAATGGATTCTTAAGGCTTAAAAAGGGTGAGTGGTTTAAAATCTTTGTCTAATTACCCAAGCTAGGGGCCGCGCCCACCCTTTCGATTTTGCCCTTAAAATGGTTACGGGTAGTGTAAATCCCGTTTTAATCGGATAGGATCGAAAGGTATAGTGTATAACCACTTTTAGCTTCACTTCATTTCATTTCATTGGTGCCAATTCTGGCGTGATTCTCTAAACTTAAAACTAAATTTGACATCAGTCTCTCCTTTTCATTCTGTATAGAGAATGACAAGGATATACTGCTGTCAAATTTAAGTTTAGGTTTAGAGAATCATGCTAGAATCGACACCATTGACAACAGTGTGACCATATGTGGCAGGATCCTGCCTTTTCGGCAGGTTTAGCCCTTTATTTTCCTCTCTGGCATATATGTTTGACGTTTTAGAAATCTGGCAGTATTTGGCAGTTTATCACCTTGGACGCCATGGCGATCACTTTATATTTTTTTCATAGAAATTATCGTCCTGCAGGATAATCTTTAGATAGCCTGACGGCGTTCAAGGTGTTATAGCAATATAGGCTTTTTTTATATATTTCCCAATACATCCTTTAATATGAGTAGGGTGCGGATCGACAAACGAAAAAACAGTAGGTAGGAATTTTAAATGCCAATGGCAACATTGGCAACGATACCTTTGTTTCGGGGATTTCCCATAACATCTCTAGTTGAATTTGTAGTTCATTTCATTGTGAACCTTAAAGCGCGGATCATAATGTTTATATTACCTATATATTTATTTGTCAGTTGTTTATGTAATTAGTCGGACTAGAAAAACTGTCGGAGACACAGATTTGTTTTGTTTCTGATTTCGTGTGGTGTGTGGGAATGGTTACCATATTACCATGAAACGTAAATATGAACGATTATATCGCGTAGAGTGGGAGCAGAGCAGTTAACTACCTACCTTTAAAGGATATGTATTTAGGTGTCAACGTCAGCAGAGAAATCACTTGTCTAGCAAGAGATATAAATCTGAAACCTGCGATACAAACGTTTCTTGAGCATATGCAATCATTTCTTATTCAACTTTCAAGTCAACTAAAAACACGTCTGCCATTAAACACTCTTTTAAACAATTACAGTTCTTAGCTCCTCAAGACGTTGTATACAAGGAGTTTTCTTCAATAGCCAATGTTATAACCCAATTTCCCAATCTTGTTGATGAACATACAATTCAAAAAAATTGATGACGAATACAGACAATTAAAACTTGATAATGACGTTAGTGATTTATTAGAATCTGATGGAAGTAATGCAAAGCCAATTCTAAGTGTTGATAAATTTTAGGGGTGCCGTTGGCAAAATTCAAAATACGTATATATTTCTAATTTTGTAAAATCTTTGTTGTGTTTGCCAATGTCGAATGCTGCTTGTGAAAGAATATTCTCGCAAATCAACCTTATAAAAATAAAAACCCGGAACACATTTATCAATAAACATGTCGCCTCTATTTTGCATGTAAAACAAGGCATTAAAGAATATGGTGACTGCGTTTCATTCCAGCCAACAAAAGGTATGATTAAATATGACAAAAGCGATGTATAAAGAAATTGATCAAGAAGAATACGAGACTAATACGAATGTATAAAGCTATTTAAAATAAAAATATCATGTGATTATTTATTTTAAATTTTAAAATTGTATTGGCATTATTTCGGCATTTTGTGCATAAAAATTTGGCAGGATTTGTCAGTTTTTTTGCCTAAGCAGGGCAGGATCTATAATTTAACGTTGGTCACACTGATTGACAAGCAAGCAAGCAGGAAAAAAAAAATCTACTGTCTTGTCTATGTTAGTTTTAAAATAAAGATGGAAGTTGAGAGTACGGAAGCCGGTGTGAAAAATCATTTACACGATGTTTTATCAGAAGCAGAATATTCTAGCGTACCTAATCCTATTGCGGAGAAGATCAACACGTACATTGATAAAAAGTTTGAAGAATATTTAACATCTAAGGCTCTACATGAAACCAGTAAATCCCAAATAGGTAAGCAAAAATTGAGTACTAAACCTGCCGACGCTGATTTCTTTCTCCACAGTATTGCCATTATTGTATTACGTATTTTAATGATCAACGTTATAAGGTTTTGGAGTAGAAAGTTCACACGGGTATTTTTATCAAAAGTGGATGGAGGTAGGTACTATTTTGATGCTATTATAACCTATACGTTTTTTTTAGTAATTTTAATGTTACTTCTTCCAAAATTTTATAATATTTTATAAGGTTTTGCCATTGTAACTCAAATAAACTGTGTAGGTGTTAAGATTTGCATTAACAAATAGCAACAATGCCATCTACAATTGTTTTTAGATGTTCATTCTAAATATACTACTATAATTATACATGTGTAAATCAAGCCTGGGCCGACATAAAGGAGATAGAAAATTGTGGGCCAAATGTATCCAAAACGTAACAAGTGAGATTTAGACTTTAAACTAAGCATTTGCTATTGTTTGCTATTTGTCATACTAATGAACAATTAATAACAGAAATAAACAACAGTGTTACAGGTTTATTTTCACTAAAATATAACAAAATACAAAGATTAGCATAAAAGAAGAAATGAGCAATATGAGATTATAATCATTGCCTTACTTTCCTACAATCAAACTTTTATCGTCACAAGAAAGTAGTCAGTTTCTCATGAACTTTCAATTTCAAATTATTTTAAAAGTTAGGTATCAGTGTTGCAATTTCAGCATGTAAAAAGACCTCTAGAAGGATAAGTTTTGAGGTTAGATTACCCTTTACAAATTGGATAAATAATGTTTTTGAGTGTTGCTTTTTATCAAATTCTGATGGCATCATGGTTTGGCATAATTTTATTAATTTGAGCTATAATTTAAATAGATATTTAAATTTTTAAAAAGTGGCAGAGGTTGCATGCTAAAATTACCCTATAATAAAGTAATTAAAAACTTAATTTAAATGTGTTTAGCTGTAGTATTTAATAAAAAAATTGCTCTCCTTTACTTTAAAATAAATAAAAAAAACTGTGAAAAGCTTTCAGAATTATGTGCTAAAACCAAGACTATAAGTTTTCATTTGAAAAATTGACATTGTCAAATCATCTTTTTTTTTGCAAATTTCACCTTTACCTGAAAATAGCATTAGGTACCCTCTGTATAACACCTAGATTACTTTACTTTTGAATAAGAATAGCCAAAACAGTGATACTCCTGCTACTGGATGTGTCTGCTACAATGTTTGCTAGTTTCAGCTATATCCTTTGTTAATAATTAAGTCTCACATACTATTTATGAAGTGGCATGGAAATTTTGACACCTTATTTCAATACACACTTTTTTAATAAGTATAAAGCCCATAATTACAATCAATAATCTTGCAACCATCGTGTATCTCTCCACCACTACTAATAAAAAAAGTTTTATTGAGTGTGCCTGAAAACATAAAAATAAATTAAAACCTTATTTCATTCAATGTATTTGCAGAAGTCAGAACCTCAATTTATTCAACCCTCTTTTTTTTTTGTGACGAGGGGAAATGCAGTTACGCACCATACCGTGACGCTGACTAGACGCACAGCGTGTGTGGGACTCGCCGGCACGGAAAACAGTGCTGACCCTACTCAAGCAGGACCAGTGCGGAAGGCCACACTGATCCTACTCCACTAAAACCCCCCAGTACCCTCCTACGCCCATATGGGGGCTTCTCAGGATCGACGCACCTTAGTGTGAGCCACTTCACTGGGACGCCCCCGGGAAATTTATTCAACCCTAGCAAGACACAAGTTTGCGCATTTACTGCAAAGCAGGACTCATTTGCTGTCACACCACGATTTCAAGTAGTCCTGCTGCATAGTTCCAGTAGCGTTGGGATACTAGGTGTTGATATCTAGGCCTCTATAAAGCTAGGAGTTCCTAATCGGTCACAGCAGTACTTCACCTCTAAGCAAAGGCTTCTGCTCTACAAAGTGCAAATTATTCCCCACATGGAGTACTGCACCCTTAGCATGAACCATTATCAAATTCGAATAGTTTAATTTGATCTAGATACACATTAAATGTGTACTGATTTTTATCGTCCTCGAATGTGGCCGTCGCTGTGCGGTGGCCCTAGAACATTGTTTTATTCTTGTGCTTGACCGACTGCAGCGAGAGATGTCAGCATAGGAAGAATTCAGGCTTAAGTATGCAATTTTTATCTGTGTGGTGACGGAGAAAGAATACAACTCACCGCCCCTTCTCTTCCCATGGGAGTCGTAAGAAGCGACTAAGGGATATCGGAGCTTCCATTCGGTGGTGGTAGGGTGCCTAACACCCGCCTGGTTTGTTACCACCGTGCGCATGGTGAAAACCCCGTGAAGTGCTTCGTGTCCTTGCGTCCGGTGGGTCGGCGCATCTCCTCTGCAGGTAGTCAATCGGGAAAACAAACCTCCCTTATTTGCCCGGACTCTTCGCGACAGCGTCCGCTCGCTTTCGCGTCTCTTTTTTTCACTTCCACCATGACAGCCTATAAAACAAAGTTTGGACGTACAGCGGTGCACACCCCCACGCCTTCAACGCTATTTGAGGTCGAGTTCTGCAACATACGCGGACTCCACTGTAACCTCAACGCTGTCCACCACCATCTCAAATCACAGCACGGCCAGCATTGTTCTAGGTTCTAGAAAAGGTCCTTAATAACCATCTAACCCGCTACCTAGAAGGTCACTCCCTGATTAATGATCTTTAATATGGTTTTAGACCAAAACGATCGACGGGTGATCTTCTAGCGTACTTAACTCATATCTGGGGTGAGGTTATCGGCAAGCCTGGCGAGTCGTTGACTATCAGCCTTGACATTGCCAAGGCGTTCGACAGGATCTGGCACAAAAGCTTTCTCTCCAAACTTCCGGCATACGGTCTGCCAGCCCAGTTCTGTTCTATGGTAGCTGACTTCCTGAGTGAGCGTAGAATTCGTGTCCTTACGGATGGTAGCAGTTCGCGGTTCATGTCAGTGAATGCCAGCATTCCCCAGGGCTCTGTCCTATCCCCCACTCTCTTGGGAATATTCATTGCTATGCAGACGATAGTACAGTGCATGCGGGGTATCTCGGACAAGCAGAGGCTGGGCAGGCGGTAACCAAGGAGAAACTGGAGAATCTTGTCATTGAACTCAATCAGGCTTTGGACCACATTTCCGAATGGGGTACAAGGAACTTGGTTGAGTTCAATGCCAAGAAAACTCAGGCATGCGCTTTCAGGGCAAAAACATCGCCATTCCTTCCCCTTCCCTCTCTTCAGGGCACAACACTGGCACTACAGAGCAACATTACCATGCTCGGTATGGAAGTTCGCTCAGACCTGAATCCAAAGGACTACATGGAAACCGTGATCAAAACAGCTACACGCAAACTCGGGAGTCCTGAACAAGGTGCGGCGTTTTTTCACGCCAAAACGCAAGTGTGGTCCTGCGTGGAATATTGCTCCCACCTCTAGGATGGCTTCGCCAAGTACTTGCTCGATGCTTTGGATAGGTTACAGCGGCGCGCGATCCGCATCATAGGCGATGATGAGGTGACTAAACACCTTTAGCCTCTTCTATTACGCCGTGATGTGGCGTCACTAAGCGCGTTCTATCGTCTGTACCACGGCGAGTGTTCTGAGGAGTTATTCTCTCTTATCCCACCTTCCCCTTTCCTTAAAAGGACCACGCGCGCTGGCCTACGTTGTCACAGTCTAACTGTGACAACAATTCCAACACGTACAAAGAAATTTGGTGGACTCATTTCTTTGTCGTACTATCCGTAAATGGAATGCTCTGCCCGCTCACGTGTTCCCTCCCTCTTACAACCTGGGATCCTTTAAAAGAGGCGTGAAGAAGCAACATGCAGGCTGGCAGGGTGAGGATGGCTGGTGTGGCAGGTAGAACTGCTGTATCAGCTATCTTCGCGTCTGGACTTCACCTTCACTTAACATCAGGTGGGGTGGAGTCATTTGTCGGACATATCTATAAAAAAAAAAAGTAGCTGCGTTTGCATTATTTGCATCTGATCAATATTTTTAGTCTGAATCGTTCAATTATTACATCTAGAGTAAATCTATACTGTTTGGTAATTCCGCTCACATTAATCTGATGTAAATATGTTTGCTCTGAGTATTTTGACTCACAAGAAAGATTGATCTGGTTATCTGTCATATTGTGTTTATTTAATTGCCAATGTGTAAAGAACACAATAAATAGGAACACAGAAGAATCATCTGTATATTATTTAACTGTGTAAGATTCTAAGAGGAGTGTGAATTATTTCAGTTACTTAAGTACAAACAACTAGAGAGAAAGTATTTGTATCACCTGGTTAAAGTTTCAATGAAAAGAGCTAGTTTGTTACTACGTCCAGTAGAGGCGCTGCTTAGTTTACATAGAAATTTTGATGTGAGTTATATAAATATGGATCTGTCAAAGTTTGTGCTTGGAGTACAGATGGTTTTAAGTTTTTCATTAATTGTTATGTTCTTTACTATTGGGTCTACGCTGACAATAATGCCAACAAACGCTATTTCACTGTGTATGTATGTATGTATCTGATGCAACAATATGACTTATATTTACAATAAATTTAATTACTTTTTCAGGTGACAAAATCGCTACTTCTGAAGCCACGATTCTTGAGCTAACTGTAAAATATGAAGAATCCGCGAAAAAATTACTGACTGCAGAAGAAACAATCGCAGAACTAGGAAAACAGGTAGAGACTCTGAATTCAGAACTCGAAAAAGCTCGCGATAAAATCACATGCTTAGAAAATGAAATTGTTTCTCTTAAAAGTTCCCGAGATGCAGCAGTGGATGAGAGAAACGACCTGACTCGTATTTTACAACGACGAGATGTCGAAATAGAGCGATTAACGGCTAGCGAAGAATCGAATTCGCAACAGTTACGTGCTGCTATAAATGCAAAGTGTGAAGCTTTGGCGTTAAATGATGAAATCCAGAGCAAAGAACTTTCACTTCAGTACCGTGAAAAAAGAATAGAGCAAGAAAGAGTTTTGCTGAATTCTCAAATTGCTGGTCTTACTGAGGAAGTGAACAGACTGACTTCAGAATTACAAACTGTGCGTTTGAATAACACAAGCAGACTAGTGAATTTGGAAACTCAATTAGCTGAAAAGCTTGAAGAACTAAGTGCAGCAAATGATACAATTGTTCAACTAAATGAAGTCAAGAAAAATCTTAATAATCGCGCTGAGAGTCTAACACAACGTTTAATGGAACAGAGAGAAATTGAAAATAAAATGACTGATAATTACAAAAAAGAATTAGATGCGAAAACTAAATTAGCTGATTTATTCAAAACTATGCATGATGACGCAGAGGCAAAAACTATGGAACTAACAGAAGGTATAGCAGAACTACAACGATTATTAAATGAAGCAACTGAAAAATATGGGGACTTAGAAACTAAATATAAACAGGCAGATTTAGATCATGAAGAATTAATGGAAAAGAAAAATGAAGTAATTTCATCTCTTAAAAATGAGCTGGAACATGCAAATGATTTATTGAAAGCCGCCAATGCCCAAAATTTGGATATGGCTCTAAGTGATTTAGCTCCATCTGCAGCCACAGCCAGTAAACTATTAAAGTCAGGCATGTCTCTGACACAGATCTATTCACAATTAGTTAAAGTTACTGATGAATTAGCTCAAGAAAAAGAAGAGAACAGACGCTTGAACATAACCATTAATACTATTGTGCAAGAATTAGAAGAAAAAGCGCCAATGTTACAAAAGCAGAAAGCAGAATATGAGGAAGCAGTTGAAAGCAATACAGCGTTGACTCAACAAATCGATTCTCTTTTGATGGAATGTAATAGATTAAGGGATGATTATGGTGAAACATCTAAAATAGCCAATCATTACAACAGAGAAAATGCAAAGTTGAAGGGAGAATTAGCTGACTTGGGTAGACAAGTTTGTTTCTTGCTAAAAGAAATAGAACATACTCGTGGGGGTCTTTTGCCTAATGGTGATCATGATTCATCTCATGCTGCATCAAATACTACAAATTCTTCTGATTTAAGTTCATCGCGAATCATTTCTAAGACGTTAGTAACCTTCAGTGACATTCAAGAATTACAATCAAATAATCAAAAACTATTGAGAATGGTTCGTGACCTTACTGAAAAACAAGAAGAGTTTGAGCGCCATAAAGATCAATTTGAAAGCGGAGAAATGCAAACTAAAATAGAAACTTTAAAAAATAGGGTTACAGAATTGACAGAAGCTCAGGAGAGGCAAACCAAAATGGTTAACGGACTAATTAGGCAACGAGATATGTTTAAAAAACTGTATCATGACCTCATGAAAGGAAAACGTCACGAAATGTCTTCTGTTTTAGAAATTTCAGATTTAGAAAAAGACTCTTTTGCAATGGAAACATCTTCCGAAAAAACTTCTAAAGCTGTCGATGTTGATACATCTGGATTTGAAATAAAGTATAAAGAGACAGAAAAACATTTAGAATTATTGAAAGAAGAATATAAAACATACAAAGAAGAAAAAGTAACTAATGAACGGATGCTATTTGAACAAATAGATAATATGAGACAAGAAATATCAAAGCTTACAGCAGCTAATAGTAAATGTTCTTCTACTTCAGAATATAATAATGAACGACTTAAAATTTTACAAACAAATATCACAACATATAAAAAGCAAATATCATCCCTAGAAGAAAAAAATAAAGCATATAATGCAACTATTGCGAAACATGAAGTTTCATTACAACATTTCAGAGATGAGGCTTTAAATGCTCAAAGCAAACTCGCCGCTACTGAAATCCAACTCGAGAATTTAAAATTGGAATGCAAATTACTGAAGGACGCCGAAGTACGTCTACAGACTGAAAAAGAACTTCTAAACCGGGAACGGCAAGGTCAGTCATTGCTGTTGAAAAACTTAGAATTGATCAAAGCCAGCTTGGAACGGGTAGAAGCTGAAAATCGTGCCAAACTAGAGTCTAGATTAGACGAAGCTACAAGGGAGTGCTCTGCTTTAAGAAGAAGGTTACAAGAAGAACAAGATCGCTTTAGAGAATTAGCAGCACACCTGGAGCGACAAACTGAGACAGCGAAGTCTCGCATGCAAGAAGAAAAAGATGCTGCAGATTTAATGAGGAAGGAAATTACCCAACTACGTCAAGATTTAATAGATAAAAACAAGTCAAGTGAAGAAATTGCAAAAAAACTGAAATCGGCACTTGCACCTAATACTGATGGATCTCTCGATACCATTAAAAAAATAAAAGAACTTGAGAGTAAATTAGTTGATCGCGATAGTGAAATAAAATCACTTCAAGAGCAGTTGAGTATTGCAAAAGAACACATAAAACAATATTGCGATATTTCTGAAGGAGCTGAAAAAGAATTGAAAACTCTAAATGATGAGTATGAAAAGTACAAGTCTGAAACAGAATCTAAATTATCAAATTATGCTCAAAACCTCCAGAAGCTTGAAGAAAAATGCGCGGAATTGGAAGCAGAACTATCTCTTCATTCCAATGGTGAACATTCGGCCAGTAATAATGCATTGTGTAATGACCTTGCTAATACTAAAGAAGAACTACAAACAGTATTATCAAATTATGATATTTGTAAATCTGAATTAGAAGCTGCACGTTCTGAAATCACAAATCTGTCAGAAGCATATCAGAAAGCTGAAGAAAAATATACTCATGAAATGATATTACATTCTACTGATGTACAAACTCTTTCAAAAGTAAAAGAAGAATTATCAATAGCTCAAAATCAAATAAATGAATTGTTAGCTCTTAAGAATAACGCCTTTGAAACGCTTGAAGCTGAAAAAGCATGTTGGTTGGAAAGACAAAAAATATTAATGAGTGAAAACGAACAATTGACACAACGTTTGAAAGATTTGAATGATCAAAATTCATTGTTGCATGACCAAATTCAAGCTTTAGGTACGCAGCTATCAGTATCGCATGCATCGAGATCACATTCTGAAAGCATGAATGAATCTGCAAATGAATCTGTCAATATTTCCCTCAGTGAAGATGACGGGAAATCTTCAGAACAATTATTCCAAATTGTTAAATTTTTGAGAAAAGAGAAAGACATTGCTATGGCTAAATTCGACATTTTACAAGCTGAAACGATGCGACTTAAATCACAACTGGAGATAACAGAAAAACAGCTTGATGATACTAAATTATCTTTAGCAGCTGAAAGAGAAAGATCGGAAGTAACCATGGTAACAGTTGGCAGACAATCAGATATTTTGAGAAAAGTTGAAACATTAAATGCGCTTACAGATAGTAACAGAATTTTGAGAGAAGAACGTGACAATTTGACAGCTCGCGTGGAAGAATTAACTACTGGTATGAAAGCTTTGGAGGATCAGATAGCTCCTATGCATGAAAAGTTAACAGACCTTTCGTCTAAAAATGAGACATACCTATCCGAAAATACTTCTCTAAAGGCTGATTGTGCCAGATGGAGAACTAGAGTAAATGCACTTGTGGAAAGGGCAAATAAAACAAGCCCAGAAGATTGGAAGCGCTTACAAAATGAAAGAGAAACACTAGCTAAAATGCTCACAAACGAAAAGGAAAACGTCAGAAAATTAAATGAGGAGCTTAGTGCTATAAAATTAGAGAAATCTAAAATAGAAGAACAATATACATTGTTATCCAGACAACAAAATACATTGGTAGAAGAGAACAAAAAGCTGAATGAAGATTTGCAAACCCTTAAAGAGGATCTGTCACGTTTGACTGAAGAATTAACAAAGATTAAACAAGAACTTTCTTCATGTAATGAATCAAATGCTAAATTATCAGAGGAAATAACCAGTAAAGATGCTTCTTTAAATGATATCAGGAACAAAGAAATGCAAATTCGGAAAATTGCTAAAAAGTATAAAGGACAGTATGAAGATTTGGTAAAGACTGTGGAAGAAGATAAAAAGAAATCTGAAGGTGAAGCTGTTGCTGCCGATACAGCACTAGCAGAAAGTACAAAGAAATTAGAAGAGCAGCTTAATAACTTGCAGTCGCAATTGGAAACTGAAAAAACTAGTAATGAAAAGTTGAAGCAAGATTTAGAAAGTCTACGAACTACCAATCTAGACAAAGAAGAGAAAGCAAAACAAGTATTGAAACAAGCTAAGAGTAAGATAGTTCAATTAACAGAATTAAAAAATACTTTAACTAGGGAACTCGACGAAACGAGAAATAAAATAGGAACTATAGAACAAGTAGCACAGAGCACGCGTGATGAACAAGATGTGCGATTAGCTCTTATTAAATCGCAATACGAAGGACGTTTATCTCGATTGGAAAAAGAAAGAGGCGAGGCACAGGAGAGAGTTAACTTGTTACAGAGACAACTTGCAGCCAGTCAGGCGTCAGCATCAAAACAACAGGTGACTGCTGAAAAGACGACCACTGATCCGCCCACAGCCAACATTAAACCAATGGCCGGTAAGTGTGCTTTAGAATTTTATTACTTAGGACGATCTTTATGGTGGCGTGGTACGTACACCGGTTTTTAAGGTGTCGCCTACTCAGAGGACCGACCTGGGTTCGAATCCTGGTGGAGCAAGTGTTTGTCTGATAATTAATATGGGCATTAAGTACCTAAGTCATGGCTGTGTATATTTTTGTTTCTACAAAAATACACATTCTTATATGTATCAACACTTTGATGTGTTATCTTATCTTATATGTATCATTATTATGTATTTCTATCTTTTACCCTAGTTTTCCATAACACAATCCTTACTTTGCATACTTTGGGGATAGGTAGGCAAATTGGTTCCGACTCCGATAAATCAAATTTAAAAACTCCGACTTTAACGATAAATTTACCTCCGTTACATCCCTGGTGTGTATGGCAACGATATTAAATACCCTAGATACTCCAACACGACCAAAATCATGCCCGAAACCTGTAGTCCAGTCATTATTGACATTCGAAATCGAAAATTTAATTATAATTCCAAAAGTTTTCAAACTTCGGTCAAGTGAATGGAACATTGGGACGACAATAAATCTCATTTTGCAACCTTGTTCGCAGTCCGGAACATTGTTAAAATTGCAATTATATTAATTTTTGCTGTATGATCGTGAAAAAAAATCCAAAAGTTCTGCAAACTTGGGGAAGTTTTCGATATAATATTTCATATCACGTATTAAATTTGCAACCAATCTAAGTGTACGGAACATTTTTTGTTATTGAAAATTAATGTTTTTTTTTTATTAAACTGAATGAAAACGTTCCAAAAGTTCTGCAAACTTGACACATATATCGGAAAAATATACCGAACGGTTGTATAAATTTGCAACCTTTTTCGTTGACCGGAACATGTTTCTTTATAATTATTTTTAATTCGTGGTCATTTTTTCGAGTAAGGTGGTCTCGGAATAATTACAAAAGTTTAGAAACTTGGTTGCAAACTTCGAAAACATCTATTCTGATGCATTTACAAATTTGCAACCTCATACGCGATCCGGAACTTTATGTAATTTGCAAAAATGTATTTTTTTTATTTTTTCACCTTCAAGAAAATTTCAAAAGTTCTGCAAATCGAGGGGACTGTTTAATTTTGGGATTAATGTCAGTATTTGAATTTGCAACCTCTCACGCAATCCGGAATCTTGTGTGATGTCGGAAATTTAACTTTATGGCACTTTTGAATGATAAAATATGAAAATGATACAATTGTTCACCGCTGCGTACATCATGAAAATTCTCTAAATGGAGCAACGGAGCACAAGACGCTTTGTAACCAGAAAATCCCAAATAGAGCACAAGACGCTTTCCAACCGAAAAATCCCAAAGAGAGCACAAGACGCTTTGTAACCAGAAAATCCCAAAGAGAGCACAAGACGCTTTCCAACCGAAAAATCACAGCCTACTGACCGATAGTACGTCCGCAGTGTACCATGGTCACGTGGCCACGGTAGCCTTGATACTGTCGCAAACGCTCTCGAAACGTAATCGTGAAAGTGCTAGAGATCGAATTTGCCAGATCACCGCGGGTCGCGATAAAAGGTCGAGTAAGGCGGCATTCTAAAATGAGCCTTATGCAGTGCGACGTAAAGGTGAAAGTGCAACGACATCTGCACTTGTTTACAAGTTATGCGTGTTACCTGCGTAGGTATGGGTAGGTATTTCGTACTCGCGGGTGCTAGGTAATTCTCAATTTAACAGGTACTTTCTAGAATGCGTCGATCGGCGTATATAAGCGCGATTGCGCGCAGAGACAGTTGAGTTTCAACAGCGATTTTGGAGCGAATCCAAAGGCGATCCAAGTGCAACAAAAGTGTTCAAGTGAAATTGTTTAGTGACTTGTATAGTGAAATACAGTGTTTAGTGAGTGTGTTGGTAATTAACTTTGTGTGTTCATTGTGTGAACTGAGTGGTGAATAAAGAACTGTCAAGCGTGAACTGGCATATAAATTCGAACCCCATCCTGACACGTAACAATTGGTGACAGAAGTGACATGCCAGTCACACCGCGCGACGGAAGCGAAGGCGTACGCACTCGACGGCAGGCCGTAATGGACCATTCGCGGGAGTCGGGAGTAGCGGCGCCTGAAGATGGTTCAAGCACACCACAGACGGCTCACCACAGTGGTGTTGCCGCTACAAGTACTGCGCCTGCGTTCGACATATCATCGTTAATGGCGGCTATGCAAGCTATTCAAGAGGGCCAACGCCAAGCTATGGAAAGTCAACAACAAGCGCTCAAGGATGTCAAGGAGGACGTGAAGGCTGCTATTGACTCGAAATTTGAAGCATTCAAAACAACTTGTGCGGCCTCCAAGACGAAATAGAATGCGTAAAGAGTCGTACCAGCAAACACCAGGAGACCCTAGACAAACACCAGGAGAGCATAGGCGAATGCAAGGAGACTCTACAGTTCCATGAGAAAATGTTAAAAGACCTTCAAAAAACCAAGGTCATCAGCACCGCCATAGCAACCACGGGTACCACGGCACCTAAATTTAAAGTACCGGCGTTTGATGGTACAACTTCTTGGACGGCATTCAGACACCAATTTGAAGTCGTAGCCAAAGGGAACGGCTGGGAGGACGAACATGCCCTGACCGCACTCACTCTTGCGCTCAGGGGGGATGCTCTTCTGATATTGGAAAATGTACCAGCCGATCAACGAAGTTTGGCAACTCTCCTCAAAGCTCTGGAGGCTCGGTACGGGGATAAACACCTAGAACATGTGTATCGAGCGCAACTAAAAGAACGGTCACAGAAACCAGGAGAAGGATTGCAGCAGTGGGTCACGGAGAGTGAACGACTGGTGCGTCGCGCTTATGCGTCCAGTAAGACGTCCATAGAAGACATTGTAGTTCAAGCTTTTGTGGATGGTATAAGAAACCACGAAGTAAGAGCGGCCGTTCGATTGGGATATCACACGACCCTGGAAACCGCTTTAGGACACGCGCTGGAGGTAGAGACGGTACGCAGTGACTACAATACGCACAGAGTGCGGGAAGTCGTTGCAGCAGTCAAGCCTCGAGGTGGACCAATGTGCTATGGATGTGGAGAACTAGGGCACATCAGGACTAACTGTCCAGTCCAGCGGAGAAACCGGGCGATGTCAACCGGTACTCAGATTGACGAAAGGGAAGAGTCGTTAAACTAATCGGGGCCTGGGCTGCGGGGCGGGCACTGGCTGGACTTCATTTAGCCCCCACAGTACGAGTGTCACAGGCATGTGATGGAAATAGTCTCGTAACCGCAGGAGAAATTAACGGCAAGCCTGCACAACTTACAATTGACACAGGGGCATCGAAAACTATCGTACGGCCGGAACTTCTCAAGCGTACAATCATGTTGGGAGGCATGAAGTGGTTCTCCACAGTTGACCTGAAGAGTGGCTACTGGCAGGTGGAACTTCGCCCAGAGGATAAAGAGAAAACTGCATTCACTACTGGTACTGGAAAAGGGCTGTGGCAGTTTCGGGTCATGCCCTTCGGATTGTGCAACGCACCAGCCACTTTTGAACGACTCATGGAACGTGTGCTGGTGGGGCTATTGGGCGATGCTTATCTGGTGTACCTGGACGATGTGATCGTTATGGGACGCAGCTTCACGGAACACTGGAGGAATCTAGAGAAAGTATTCAGAAGATTCCGCGAGTCAAACCTGAAGCTCAATCCAGAAAAGTGCGCGTTCTTCAAGAAGGAGGTAGCCTTCTTGGGGCACATAATATCTGACAAGGGTGTCCAAACAGATCCTGAAAAGGTAAAAGCTGTGCAGGAATGGCCAACACCGAGAAATAAGACTGAAGTGAGAGCTTTTCTAGGCCTATGTGCGTACTACCGCAGATTTGTGAAGAACTTCTCTGAGATAGCCAGGCCATTACATCGTCTCACGGAAGAGAAGAGAAACTTCGTTTGGGACACAGATTGCCGGGGTTCTTTCACGAAGTTAAAGGATTTACTTTGTTCTGCACCAATCCTAAGCTATCCACGAAGAGAGGGAAGATTCATTGTGGATACTGATGCTAGTAATACTGGAATCGGCGGAATACTGTCACAAGAACAAAATGGACAGCAAGCTGTTATCGCTTACTTCAGCAAGTCTCTTTCAAAGCAAGAGAGAAATTATTGTGTAACTCGACGCGAACTTCTAGCAGTTGTAAAGACCCTACAACACTTCAATAAGTATTTGCTGGGAAGAGAGTTCACTCTGCGTACAGACCATGCAGCACTTAAATGGTTACTCCAGTTCAAGAACCCTGAGGGTTAAGTGGCGAGATGGATCGAACAGCTGCAAGAATTCAACTTTGCAATAGAACACCGGAGCGGAAAGACGCACGCCAATGCTGATGCATTATCAAGGCGGCCTTGTGCTGAAGATTGTAAGCACTGTTTAAAATGCGAGAACAAAAACGAAGTGAAGGTTATAAGGGCTCAAGAATTGGATGAATCATGGGAGTAAAGCTGAAATATCTCGGGCGCAGAAGGAAGACAAGGACCTGCAGCTGATAATGAAGGGGAAAAGTGAAGGACGAAAACCATCATGGAGTGACATATCCGCTTCAAGCCCAATCACGAAGGCATACTGGGCCCAATGGGACAGTCTTCTGTTACAAGAAGAGGTGCTTTATCGGAAATGGGAGTCACCAAATGGTAAGGATCAGACTCTTCAAACGGTGGTCCCTAGGTGCAAAGTGTCTCAGGTTTTAAGGCATGTGCACGATGGTACGTCTGGGGGACAACTGGGAATAAGGAAGACATTGGTGAAAGTGAGGGAACGCTTTTACTGGATGCGCTGTCGAGAAGATGTCGAGGACTGGTGTAGGAAATGTGATGTTTGCGCCTCGGTCAAAGGGCCTCGTACTAGATCCAAGGGGAAGATGCAGCTTTACCAGGTCGGCGCTCCTTGGGAAAGAATTGCCATTGACGTCGCTGGGCCTTTTCCACAAACAGAAGATGGAAACCGTTACATTGTGGTGGTTCAAGATTATTTCACCAAATGGCCCGAAGTATTTGCTACACCAAACCAGGAGGCTCAGACCGTCGCCAAGAGGCTTGTTGAAGAAGTAGTGTGCCGATTCGGCGTTCCGTTGGAATTACACAGCGATCAAGGAAGGAATTTTGAGTCAAACTTATTCCAGGAGATGTGCAATTTACTCGGAATAAATAAGACGCGTACGACTCCGGCACACCCACAATCCGACGGCATGGTAGAGAGATTCAACCAGACTTTGGAAAATCATTTGGCGAAGGTCGTAGAAGAACATCAACGGGACTGGGATCGTTACATTCCGCTCTTTCTGATGGCGTACCGGTCCGCAGCGCATGACAGCACTGGATTTACTCCATCGAAAATCAATTTCGGAAGAGAGATGCGCTTACCCGTGGACCTACTTACCGGAACACCTTCGGCTGCCTCCAAATCAGTAGTAGAGTACGTCGCAGAGCTGCAAAGAAGGTTGGACGTAAAGGTGAAAGTGCAACGACATCTGCACTTGTTTACAAGTTATGCGTGTTACCTGCGTAGGTATGGGTAAGTATTTCGTACTCGCGGGTGCTAGGTAATTCTCAATTTAACAGGTACTTTCTAGAATGCGTCGATCGGCGTATATAAGCGCGATTGGCGCCGCGCAGAGACAGTTGAGTTTCAACAGCGATTTCGGAGCGAATCCAAAGGCGATCCAAGTGCAACAAAAGTGTTCAAGTGAGATTGTTTAGTGACTTGTATAGTGAAATACAGTGTTTAGTGAGTGTGTTGGTAATTAACTTTGTGTGTTAATTGTGTGAACTGAGTGGTAAATAAAGAACTGTCAAGCGTGAACTGGCATATAAATTCGAACCCCATCCCGACACGTAACAATACCATAGCAACGCAGGTATACGACGTCGCGGCGGCTTCGTATAGCACAAAGTTTATATTAGGCCCTGAATATATAACAGCGATGTGTACGGAAATAATATTTTGCGTGAATGTGATTAAAAAATATTTCCGTATTCCGGATATGGTTGCAAATTCAAATACTGACATTAATCCCAAAATTAAACAGTCCCCTCGATTTGCAGAACTTTTGAAATTATCTTGAAGGTGAAAAAATAAAAAAAATACATTTTTGCAAATTGCATAAAGTCCCGGATCGCGTATGAGGTTGCAAATTTGTAAATGCATCAGAATAGATGTTTTCGAAGTTTGCAACCAAGTTTCAAAACTTTTGTAATTATTCGGAGACCACCTTACTCGAAAAAATGACCACGAATTAAAAATAATTATAAATAAACATGTTCCGGTCAACGTAAAAGGTTGCAAATTTATACAATCGTTCGGTATATTTTGCCGATATATCTGTCAAATTTGCAGAACTTTTGGAACGTTTTCCTTCAGTTTAATAAAGAAAAACATTAATTTTTAATAACAAAAAATGTTCCGTACACTTAAATTGGTTGCAAATTTGACACGTGATGTAAAATAATATATTTAACACCACTCCAACTTTGCAGAACTTTTGGAATTTTGGTCTCAAGAGCTGAGCAAATTATCATTATTGCATTTTTAACAATGTTCCGGACCGCAGAACAGGTTGCAAAATTTTATAGTTTGTTTTAATACCATTCCCGACCTTACATCAAAATTTGAAAACTTTTGGAATTATAATGAATTAATTGTCTTGACTGACTGGACTACTGTCCAAAAGTAGTCTAAAACGATATAAGGCATTATTTAAACATGTCACTTTTAATGCATACTGTATAAGGTCTTAATTAAAACGCATGCGTCAAAGAGTTATGATAGTTCAAAATGCAAGCTCGTAATATGTTACGACATATTTCTGTATGCTGAAGAATATAGACCTTATTTCTTAGACTCTACGCGCAATTCTGAATGCGCTGTTATCAACTACTACTACTACTGTCCAAAAGTAGTCTAAAACGATATAAGGCATTATTTAAACATGTCACTTTTAATGCATACTGTATAAGGTCTTAATTAAAACGCATGCGTCAAAGAGTTATGATAGTTCAAAATGCAAGCTCGTAATATGTTACGACATATTTCTGTATGCTGAAGAATATAGACCTTATTTCTTAGACTCTACGCGCAATTCTGAATGCGCTGTTATCAATATAGCAGGTACAGACCGCAAGGAAAAGATACAGCTATATTACCGACCATGCTTTATATCACAAATATTTTCCATTATATCAGTTTATAGTAAGTATTAGAACAAAATTAGCTTCAAGTTCATTAAATTAATGAACATTGATTAGATACCTGTCAAAAAAACGACACTTTACATACTATAAGTATTTTTTTCGCATTTTTTCACGGAGCGGAGTGGTGTTCAAGCACTTCTTGATTGGGACACATTTTGAGCGCACGTGGTGTATCTAGGGTATTTAATATCTTTGGTGTATGGTAAAAAAATATTTAAGAAAAATACATTAGTTACTTTTATTTTATTACTATGTAAGTAAGTGCACATTTATTTTAAAACCATGACATTACACGTGAAGAAATAATCTTTTGAATAGTTTGATTGTTTGATGAAATCTAAGGGAAAGTTTACTAGAAAAAAATCCATGAGGACCAGGCAACAGACGGGAATCGAACCCGCCCCCTCCGCTATCTGGGCGAATGCACTGACCATTATACCGCGGCCCTGACGGCCGTGTAGCCGCACCCTTCGCCAAGATAGCGAAGGGTGCGGGTTCGAGTTCCGTCTGCTGCTTGGTCCGCGTGGAATTTTTTCTAGTAAACTTTCCTTAAGATTTAAACATCTAGCAGATAAATGCTTAAAAAATAAAAACATAACTATAAAGACATACTTGAGCTCCTTTGTCAAATTGAATTTTTTGATCGCCTGCATCTTCAATCGTCAACACACCCAAATGTAAGATTCTTTTTCTTTGTGAATTCTTGCTCATTCTCCCTGAATGTGTCACAGCACATTAAAAAGCTGATGATAAAGTGTATAATATCAACTGTTTTGGGTGGTACTGTAGGCGTTGCACAACAAAGCGTGTCAGGAAGTCGACGCGGCGGTGAGACTCCATTGGCTTCAATCCGCCCGATGGCCCAGGTCGGGCCTACAGCACCGCACGACGCGCACACCACAGAGTACATGCCTGCGTCTTCCTCGCGCCCGCTGCCACGCGCCGCCCTTGCTGCCTCCACCGCGCCGCCTGAATCTACCCAGGTACCTCTCATTATGATAATGTGGCATAGGTAACGATGGCCCAGGTCGGGCCCACAGCGCCGCACGACCGGCACATTATAGAGTACATGCCTGCCTCTTCCTCGCGCTCACTTCCACGCGTCACCCTTGCAGCCTCCACCGCGCCGCCTGAATCTGATAATAGATAATAATTTAATAAAATTTATTAATATTATTTCATATGTAAAAATCCCGCCAGTAGCACAAACTTAAACAACCGGTAGCGTTACGCTTTCGCACCTTAACCACTAAACTAATTTTGATTTTGAACTCGACCCAGGTACCAGATAGGAATACAAACAATACATATGCTTTGCTATCCAAATGAATGGACAGATCGCTATACTAGCAAACTCCTAGACCAGAGAAGGCGAAACAATGGAATTCGTGCCATTAATAGCACGCAATACAATATTTAGGGCACGTCACTGATTACAAAATTCATTATAATAGGGGATTTCGGGGTTTACTCGAGCGCGGCAAATTAACATAAGGGGAGCAACCTTGCATCTTGTTTGCAAAAAAACACCGTCACCTGGACATTCTCGAGTGCGGTTACATATTTTTTTTATTTTGAAGGAAATTAGTCATTAATTATGGAAATAAGATAATCTGCCGAATTGCACAAGCCGAAGGAACTAAAATCAGTCGCTAAAACCTATTTGTAAATGTTAAGACTGTATTATAATCCGACGGGCTCGAGAATTGAAAGTTCACGATTTTTTTTGCAATTTCAAAGAGCAGCCATTAGTTATGGTCGCGTCCAAATCGGCATTCGTTTGAATAGGAGCTACTGAAGGGTTCGCGTAACATTCCTTATCAACGGCTGACGCGCTCCAATTATTTTTTATTCCTATTTTCTACCCCTTCGTACGGCCAGCCTCACGCCTTACGATGCGTTACAGGGGCGCGAGGGTGGTTCGTTCAACGCGTTACGTTACATAGTTTTTTATTTAAATAAAAAAAAAAACTGGGGTATTAAAATCTGTTTTGCGAATTAGAAATAGATTGTTTAAATTATTACAACAAACACGATTAAAACAATAACAAAAGTAATTTAGCGACTTTCCGGTAGTTTGCGCAACATAGATGTGACATTTGGGTAAAAAATGGTCAGTTGGGTGTTACGTAACGTAAATGGGTGGGCAGGAAATCGTTACGGCGCGTTACATGAGGGGATGCTCGAGTATGTCTATGTGACTGTTTTTTTTTTACAATTTTGAAAGCCTGTTGCTCCTCTCACTAGTGAAAAGGTATACGTTATATAAACTTTTTATGGTTTTGTAGCTAAATGGCAAAAAACGGAACCCTTATGGATTCGTCATGTCTGTCTGTCTGTCCGTCCGTCCGTCCGTATCACAGAACACAGAAAGAGGTTAGAAGGGTGATAAGCGATCGCCATATGAGAACCGATGTCGCCGGCTCGTCCCCACTACACTTCCACCTAATAGATAATAAGCCAATCAAACGACGCGACATCAAGCAACCGAACGAATCAGCGCTTCATTCGTTCACACCGATTTTAGCTCTAGTGGTTGTCACTGAGTCGATGAAATATTATCGATATTAAATATGCCAAGTGCGAGTTGGACTTGACTTGGTTGTATGGAATTTTTTGTATCCTGTCAAAGTCAGTAAAGATAAAGAAAATGATTTAATGTAAAACGCATTACTACCGATAGTTATTAATTGACCTTTAAACAATATATATTTATGAAAAAGGTGACGCTTTGTTTCTTTTTTAAAGTTATTTTTCAAAAGAAATATATATATATTTTTTAATTACCACTTTAATTGAATCTGTTACGTGGCTAGATAATGGGAATTTACCGACTTGATAAAATGATATGTCATCAAATAATGAAGTGCCAATAAACTTTTTTTATATTTTTGGGACTAAAATTTCTTTTTTGACATTTTTCAAATTATCTGCATGTTGTCATTATTACAGTTTCTGCACTTTTGCATATTTTTATAACATCACCACGGCCGGATATATCAGGCCACCTTTATCTTTTAACGAAATAAATTTATGTTAATTATTACTTGAATCTGATATTAGGGCTCCAGGGCAAATATCGCATTTGATTTTTTTAATTAGGACATGAACCACATTGCCTGCTATGTGTACTTGACTGACTTGTGTACTGAACCAGTAAAATCTTCATCTTCATCCTCTTCTTTTTCAGATGGCTCTTTACAATCTCTTTTTACTGACTGTGTGGACAAGTTAATTCTCTCTATAGTCCAGTCAAAATAGACAAAAATAAGTCATAACTTAGGGATAATTTGCATAGAGCTGAAAATTGGCAGAGACGTTAAATACATCATTATAAATAAAATGTCTATAAATCTTCTTCGATCCTACTTCTGCAAAAAAATATTCAAGGTCAAACTTACAAAATTATGGTTCTTTCCATTTTTCTCGAAAACGGTAAGTTTTATCGTGAAAATAGATCTGACAAAAGTTGAAGATCATACAATTCTCTACAAAACTGGTCCAGTCACTTTTTCTCTCACGACACACCATTCGTGAGATATCGCTGTTTTAATAATTAGAAAATTCATATTTTACATATTGAGTACAGTTACAGTAAAACAGTACAGTGGTATTGTCTGCCTCCAACATCTGCTTCTGCCTTTCAACACTTGTATCGTGTGTATTAACAAGTTCAAGTGTGGCTAGGCAATGATCTGGACCCAGAAGGAAATTAACAGATACTTATTTAGAGCCAATTCGAACTCTACTCTCGCCTGGTGCAGAAAAACTGCTTAATCCAATTTTTTGTAAATGCAAGACGGATTGTAGTAAGAATTCTGGCTGTCATAAAGTGGGATTATTTGTTTCGCCAGTATGCATCAATTGTCAGCGTCAGACTTGCTCCAATATTGAAAAAATACAACAGATGAAAATATTTATTAATTGAAGAGACAATTGTTGCATCCCTTTTCTTAGAACAGTGAATAGAAATTCTGCAAGAAGAAGAAAATTAAGACGAAGAAATAATTGTCGGAGAAGAATTAGACAATTATCTAATACTAGCAAACCAGTGAACCAAATGTTCAAAAAAAAATGTATTTAATTAATTGAGAACTTCGGAGATTTTGTGTGATTTCGTTTGAAATTCGTGATTTCTCGAAAACCGGAAGTGCTACGTTACTCAAATCCGGTTTGTAGTCTTTTCAGACTATTCTTAACTTATAACTTAAACATTCTCTTTATCTTTCTCTTACGGTTTGGCCGCTGAAACAGCACCACAGACGGACGGACGGACGGACGGATTTGTCTAATAGATAAGAGATAATAACATTTAGAAGAAAACAAATTTGATCATTAGCAATATAACCATTCTATCAATCAATAGGATACGATCTGATCAAACTTTCTTTTTCATCGTGGAGTATACCTACTGGGGAAACCACTTCGAAAAAAAATCCGCCAAGCACATAGGTTATACACACATATATATATATATATATGTTACATACACCTCATAGGTTGTGCAGAAATGTGTGCATATTATGTAAAAAATGAATTTCCTAATTATTAAAACCGCGATATCTCACGAATCGTGAGTCGTGAGAGAAAAAGTGACTGGACCTTTTTTGTAGAGAATTGAATAATCTACAACTTTTGTCTGACCTATTTTCACGACAAAACTTACCGTTTTCGAGAAAAATGGAAAAAACCATAATTGTGTACGTTTGACCTTGAATATTTTTTCTGCAGAAGTAGGATCGAATGGGATTTTTGTTCCACCACATTTCTGCATCACCTATGAGGTAATGTACATGTCAGATTTTTTCCAACTTTGAATCCGCCAAGTACGTTACCTCGGTGGTGCAGAAATGTGTGAATATTACGTAAAAAAGAATTTTCTAATTATTAAAACCGCGATATCTCACGAATGGTGAGTCATGAGAGAAAAAGTGACAAGACCATTTTTGTAGAGAATTGTATGGTCTACAACTTTTGTCTGACCTACTCTCACGACAAAACTTACCGTTTTCGAGAAAAGTGGAAAAACCATAATTTTGTACGTTTTGAGTTGAATATTTTTTTTGCATAAGTAGGATCGAAGGGGATTTTTGACATTTTTTATAATGATGTATTTAACGTCTCTGCCAATTTTCAGCTCAATGCGAATTATTCCTAAGTCAAATGTCTATTTTGACTGGATTATAAACAAACTCTTCAGCTTTATATTATATTGTACTAGCTGTGGCCTGTGGTGTTACCTGCGGTTTATTAGGGATATTTTCCCGCAGTTAAACGTAGCGTATGTGTTAATCCAGGGTGTCAGCTAACTCCATACCAAATTTTATTAAAAACGCTCCAGCCGTTTAGACATGAAGAAGTAACAAACATACACACTCACAAACTTTCGCCTTTATAATATTAAGTATGATAAACGTTCACAATCAGCTTTTATTTATTTCTAAAAGTTACTCTTTAATTTCATTATTAGGTGCTAATATTCAGTCGATAAAATCTATCGAAAATGTAAAATGTACGACGCAAGACACCACTAAAGTAGGTGCAATGACCTTGTACTGCGTGCGTCCACGTGCAGCGCTCTGTGATCCACGCGTCATTCTTGCTCGATCGTACTACATTACGTGTTTTGAATGTCGTAAAAAGAATAGCGAGCGTACTTCGTCAGCAATGAATATTTTTGTGGAAATATATATGTGATTTATCGTTTTATTCAAATTTCTCGAATTTTTGCTAATATATCAGTCTAACTAAGAAGTTTTATACTTACCGATGAAAAGAAATTCCTGCTTTAGGTAGATTTGATGATCGACTCCTTACTTTGCAAGTAATTACGGCACACGAAGGCATATTTTAAGCGGTAATCACAATACTCTCTCACTGAGCGGTCGCGGGCAACTAAACGACGCGATCGGACGTTACGGTCAAGTTATGAGCATTTGCTCATAACTGTGACGCGCCTGCCCCGCCCACAAGGCCATTCTAA